TCCACGTCACGCCGGTCTTCTATGAGGTCGTGGTACTTCCACAGGCGGACCTTGCCATTCGTACGGCAGCGCACTGTTGCGTGGCCCTACCACAGTTTAATTTTGTGTTCGTTGTTTTAGTGGTCTTTAAAAGTTATTACTTAAGTTATCCGGGCCCGGATCTGACTTATGCGTAAGTTTTTTAAAGATGTCTTTGACTTCTTGCGGGGTCACTAACATATTATTATTATATATTAACTTAATCCGGGGTAACGCAGCCCTATGTTCGATAGCGCGGTCCACCTCCTATAAGTTAACTGGTGTTCACCAGCGTACATTTTAACTAGACATTGTCCGCTGAGCATTTGGCTGTTTTCTAAGTCATCGAAGGCTACTGAAGGCTACTGAAGGCTACTGAAGGATTTGCGCGGCTCTGCTGTCCTGTTTCCAACTACGAGAAGGATGTGTACGATGGCTTGAGGTCCTGCAGTAGTCACTAACCAGTTCTCGTGCGGTCTGACGGTGTTCTGATACACGATCTTCGAGTTCAAGTTGAGGGCGTCTAATTTGGGCTCAGTTCGACTCTGATCAGTGTTGGTCGGAAAGTAATTTTTGTCTGTTAGTGACTGATGTGGCGCGGTCCTTCGTGTTTGTGCCGTGAATGTTCAAAATTTTGACAAGGAAAAAAGTCCTACACACCCTAGTGAGAATGGTTGTGACATCGACTCATGATCTGAGTATTTCGGTTCTGATTCGTGATATACACCAATAACATTTTAATTTCGTTATGTGTATAACACAGCGTAGTCAGGTTCAAGCAAATAGGACAACAAAAATGTTCATAAAACGGCAGTAATAAATTGTGCTTACTGTACCAAGAAATAAAACTGAGTAAAGATAAGAAAGAGTACATGTATTTCGATTTTTGATTAAATTACGCAAATAAAATCCACTCCTTTTCTGACAAATAGACAATTAAATTTAAAAAACGTTCTGATTGAATATTATTTTATTATTTTTGGTTGTACCCAAAGGCCCCCTCATATACAGCGTGTCTTTACCATCGCGACAATAAATGAACACACATATAGAGGATGACTTTTTAAAATTGTATTAAACCTTTACTTTCTTTAAACATCAATATTTAGTGAGTTTTTAAATTTTCCAAAACAAAGAATTTTAGAACATCCTTACGTATAAAACTGTAATGTAAAGTTCATTTGTAAAGGTCACAAAGCATATGAATGGGTTGAATGAATTTATTTAAAGAGACAAAATATACTGTTAGAAGGAGAGGCTTGTAATGCGACGCTGTGGCAACGAATGAAAAAGACTCTGAATGTATGAATCAGTCAGTTGTAGTTGCATAGGATGTTACAAATTTGGTTTATATTTTACTTAATTAGTTTGTTCGAAAAATATTTTTTTTAAATTATGCATTTTATTTAACGTTAATATTTTTTTTATGATTATTGGCAAGTAGCGTTAGACGTGTATCCATTTATTGTCGCGATGGTAACGACACGCTGTATATGCATACGCTTAGAATTTTTTGTAATGTAAATGGATAAAAGAGAGTAGAGTATATCCATTATATAGACAAGTTTCCCTTTAAATTCAAAGCTCATTTGCATTAGAACTATAAAACACCCGTCATTATCACGATGTGCGTATATAACAAAAATAAATGAAACTCGGATCAGATTGCGTTTTAATTAGCGTTCACTAAAATAAGTTTAGCTAGTTTCAGACCCCCCGGGGAATTGTAAATTAACGTTCTCGTAAAACATCGTTATTGACACAATTGTCGCGCTGGCGTGTTATAAAAATTTAATGTAAAACTCCAGTCGGTTGGTATTCCGCCCATGTCATAAGCGAAAGCGTTGAAACCGGTAATAATTATACGACTGTATTTTTTTATCAATATTATTATGATATTAAGTCGTTTGTGACCAAAATATGAGACAAGTATTGGAGTCATGCTTCTTATCCTTAATGGCATATACGTAAAGTAAAGTAAAGTAACAGCCTATACATGTCCCACTGCTGGGCAAGGCCTCCTCTATACAGAAGGTATCAGGGCATAGTCCACCACGCGGCCCCACCATGCGAAGTCCGCCAATCCGCAATTGGCGGACTTCACATATCTTTGAAAAATATATATTTTTTTTGTTATTATTTCGAAAATATGCAGGTTTCCTCACGATGTTTTCCTTCACCGCGGAGCACGTGATAAGTCAGCACTTAAAGTTAAAAATTTCATTGGTGCCGGCACCGGGGATCGAACTCAGGTTGCTCGAGTATATTGAATTAAAGGCGAGCGCCCGGACACTGAGCTATCACGGCTCTTATACGTAAATATCATACACGTAAATTTTACATATAGGCGAGGATGATGTGAATTTTTATTAAACACACTAAAAGTACGTATACATAAGTGGTCTCTGTCATGTGTATAAATACATTTCTATTTAACAATATGTTGTTAAGTAAAACAGCAAAATGCGGTAGGCCCTAACGCAACAGATCCTATTCCATAATTGGGAAGGAATGTCCAGAGAAGGAATCGGCTTGAAGTGGAAGTATATATTATTATGGTCATTTTTTACCGCTCGCTTGTCATCCATTCAGTTTAAAAAAAAACGGTCAAGTGCGCCTATAAGAACGTCAAAAAGTTATATCCGTTGTAGGAGCCCCACGTAAGTTTTTTTTAATCTGTTTTAGTCAGAAATACACCATCTGTGAAAATTTAAATTGTCTAACTATAACGGTTCATGAGATACAGCCTGGTGACAAACGGATAAAGGGACAGACGGACAGACGGACAGACGGGTAGACGAACAGACAGACAGACAGACGGAAAGACAGACAGATGATTCCGTATCCAAAGGGTTTTGCCCTTTGGATACGGAACCCTAAAAATGGGCAATTTGCTTTTGGTGTAACAGTTTATTACTTTATAATCAGTGTGTATAATCAGTGTATTGCTTTATAATCTGAGTACAGCGATCTTACCGCTTCTGTACCACTATTTGTACTAAAGTTACCACCGTTGGTGTCACAACAAAACTTAATTAGCTCCATTTTAACAGTTTGATCGCTCCATTTTAGCTCTTTGTTAGCTCCATTTTAGTGTTTTTACCCACCACACACACCAAGAAAACTTAACTTAAACTTTTAATTACTTCATGTTGTGTATAAATTATGAAAATTCCTTTATTTAAAGAAAAAACGGAAATTGTGTTTAAATCGCTTTTCTTTCTTGACTCGCACCGTCACGGTCTGGCGCCGGGTGAAGGCTGGTGATTCATCGCCCAATATAAATCGATACGGATCTTACTTTTTCATAATTAATAGCACACGCTATTATTCCGATTGGGAACAAAATTATTTAACTCCAACCCCATGTTCCCTTTCATATACGACCCGAATGGCCTAGTGGGTAGTGTACCTGCCTCCTGCGCCAGAGGGTGTGGGTTCGATCCCCACTACTGGCAAAATATTGTGTGATGACCATAGTATTTTTCCAGTGTCTGGGTGTATAATAGGTATTTATTTACAGAAAAAAAAGTATGTTTTAGTATGTTTATCAGTTATCTAGTACCCCTATGGGTACTATTACAAGCGTTGCTTAGTTTAGTTTGGGACTAGAGAACGTTGTGTAAAAATGTGTCTTAAAATATTTACTTATTTATACTTTTTCAACGTATGCTGTCTATGTTCTATAAAAATAATTTCAATAATTTATTATGCACAATATTTACATTTTTGAATGTCTGAAATTGTTATTTCAGAGATTAGCAAATTAATCGATGCAATAGATGAAAGATATATACGTATTAGTAACATAGATTTTATTAACACTCAATCCAATATGTAGCAGTGCTGATAATTTACTACCTTTAAAGTTAAACGGACATTACCTACATTGGTCTCTAAAACAATCGTTTCATTAAATTGCATGGACATTTGCAACACCCATAGGGTTGCAAATATGTCACCACCATTAAATAAAGTGGGCCCCGGTTACCTCACTCATCAGACGAAACGCAGAAGTGTAACACTTCTACTTTACGCCGGCATTCGGTGAGGTCGTGGTACTTACCCGAACGGACCTGCCCACTCGTGCAACAGTGAACACTGTTGCGTGTTCAAACTGCCAGAATTCAAACATGCATTTTGTGGGACCGTGCAGTGCTCTAGACATTTGAACTAACCGCCTGACGTGTCAGTGGGAAAATCTCGACAATAATCTACTTATATTTTGTATTTTTATCATTATTATTCTTATGATTAATATTTTGATAATGTCCTCATCTGTTGGGTCCTATCAAAATAAATAATTAAATATGGCTCTAGGTTATATTTTTAACTTAGGTACTTGAAAACTTTTTTGTTCTTCGGCCAGTATTGCGTGTCTTTTTTAAACTGCACAAATCGTTGCCCTCCCCCCTGATTTGGGAGAACGCTAATTAGATACTGTTTAAGCAATGTCACCACTGAAATTTTGATACAAACAAAAAATAACTGTCCAACTTTATCGAAACCAAGTCGGCGAACATTTTATCAATTTAAAGTTAGAGGAAAAATGAATTTCATTTCGATTTACAACAAAACTTTATATTTTTAGAATTGAAGTATTGTTGATGACTTGCTTTGCTAGTCAATGGGATTACATATCAATTTTACACAAGTTTTTACGTTTAATAAATTGTATGTTCGAGGAGAATTAAAATAAGTTTCACAAGATTTACAAATCTAAGCGAAATTGTATCAATTCATAATTAGGTTGTTTTTCTCTGAAACGGAACTAATAACGTCTCCAAACTCAATCAAAGGTTCGACTTTGTATTGAACTCCGGACAAAAGGTCGCGGCCGTGGAGGCAAAGCGTGAGAAATTGGCGATTGCGGTCAATTTGATTGTGCAAGTACTTCCATCTGGTACGTCACCGCCGACACCGAGTTGCAGCCGGTCAGTGTTTGCCAAGTGATTGCCAACTGCACCCTGCACCTGACCAGCATGGCGAAGCCACCAGTCTGGTTGCTGCTTTGCCTCGTATCCGCTGTGGGTAAGTGATTTTGCATGTATCTCCTAGAATACGTTTTCGATCTGTAACTACTAGTGTAACTACTATGTCATATTGAAATGACGCAAGCTTATCAATTACAATTTGAACAAGTATAAAAATCTTGTATTTTGATGTAAGTATCTCAAGATTTGTGTTGCAGGCACTTGAGAATTTCGTTCGCTTTCTTTTTAAAAATCAAAATACATCTAAGCATAGTTCTTGTAAATTTACTGAACACTAACCAAACTCAAAATCGTCATTTATAATTATTTAAAAAAAGGTAGTAAATGCAATAACGAAATTTTATGAAATGATTTTTTCTTTACGAAAACGCTGGAAACATTTTTACTGGACAGCTGTGAAATCGTATTTTAGTACGCATCACCTTGAACACTTATTTCTTTAATGCTTTTATAGAACCAGTACAAGCCTATAAACTAGTGACGTTATTCGGCGAGATATTTTCGTCTTCTTGTGGCACGAAATATACATGCAACATCAACGTAAATATGCAACTTCAAAGAGTAGCGATGAGATCATTGTTAATATAATGACTTCAATAAGAACACAATCGCGTATTTATTTTAAAATGTGTTTCACTGTACACTCGAATTCAGTCAACATAAAATCATACTACAACATAAGGTTAAACAGCTGGGTAAAGACCCAAGCAAAGTCTTACTAAATCCATTAAGATGCGTTTTTTTTCTGTAATTTTAAATTAACCGTTATTTTGCACTTAATCTAAACAGTTTAAATATTTTATACATATACTTTTATGTACATTACATTACGTAATAATTTACGCACTCCAGATATCTTTTTCCTTAGACCTTCAAGAGGCAGTAGAAGGGGATTGTTGTTCAGATGACGTTGAAAGCACAGACACAGATGTCGAACTACAGGATATCGAATTGGAGCAAGCTTGCCCAGAACTCAGTGGTCAGATCATTGGCGGCAGACCCAGCTCAGTGACGAGGCACCCTTATCAGGTTTCCATGGTGATGAATGGAAATTCCTTCTGCGGTGGTTTCATCATTAGCCGGGATTATGTTTTGACAGCAGCACATTGCGTTCTCAAGTAAGTAACTATTCAACGGAAAGGCGATGCTACATTAACAATGTATGATGCAAATGTTTTACTACATATTTTAAGAAAACCATAAAACTTTTAAAAATTATGCTATTACTCGTAATTTCAGAATTTTAAAATTATCCAACAGTTTATTTAAAATAGAATTAAATTTCAGGAGACTAGCTTGCTACAAACTAGATTCTCTGAAGAAAATGTGCAAGGCAAATTAAAAATTAGTTTCTATTTTTGCTTAGATAATATCCTCTGTACAGAGGTCTTTGTCCAGTAGTGAAACATATCGAGGCTGTAAGAATATATTCACATCAGAACTACAGAACATCAGACTAGCATCCGTTGATTGCTGCTTTCTGTGACGTCAGTACAGCGCCGAGCGCCATACGGCTCCGCGTGGGGAGCACGCGCCGTGACTCGGGCGGGCGTATCGTTGCCGTCACCAACGTGACCGTTCACCCTCAGTACGGGCGGCCGCGATTCGACAACGACATAGCTGCCTTACGGCTCGCCAGGCCGTTGGACTTCACGGCCGCGATACGGCCGATAAGGTTGCCTCAGCCGTTACAGCCGGTGCCCCTGGTTCGGCTGACTGTGACAGGCTGGGGCCTGACCGCTGTCAGTATTTCACTTTCATATCTCGTAGAATTTTTCGTACTAACTTCTGCTTTTACATGAACCAGCGGTTCGAAGTTTGTTTGTGTATATCTGCATCTATCATCTGAACTCCTGCTTTAAATGATCGTTGGTTCAAGGTTTATTGTTTAAAGAAGTTCTTTAAGTAAATCAGGTTATTGTAACCTGAGAAATGTGTCAAATTTAACAATTGTCAAGCCTACCAATCCCTAGCAGGGCGGTGTGGCAGACTGTTGTCTGAATCGGATGGTTAAGGAACAGCGGCGATATATTGCAATTACTCGATTAACGACATCGACATAGTTGTCTGAAAACTGAAGTCTTCTTGATCGTATAATTTATTTTCAGTTAATGTGAAGAATATATTTAAGCCTAGAACTAACCGCAGGACACCTCATTTGCAGTTTATTTAGTTTATATTCATTTGATCTTCTAATTTCATCCTAAAACTTTCCAACTAACAGCCTCGTGGGCGTCGGATCCCCCGTATAATGATGGAAGCGCACGTGCCTGTAGTACCACATTGGTTATGTCGACTGTCATACGGCGATTCTCTCACTAACAACATGTTCTGCGGGGGCCATTTTCTCATCGGGGGAGTGTCTTCTTGTCAGGTAAATATAATAGAAGGTATGATTGAAACTTAGTGATTGCTTATTTTCATTTACATTCAGTGCTATTCCTTAATCATCTAAGGCACACACTTCGAAACTTGGTGTGACTATTTCCGTGCACATGCTGGCAGTCTAGTTGGATAATCGCCAGTGTATCATATTTTTAATATGAACTTAAAGCGTTCTTCCCTCTCATCTTTTGAATAATCTAAGTAATCATTGACGATGTTTGAGAAAGCATAAACTCAATAAAGATTAGACTTAAAATAAGCGGCCACTTTTCAGGGTGACTCTGGTGGGCCCGCGGTGTTCCGTGGGACGGTGTTCGGAGTGGTGTCGTTCGCGCGCGGCTGCGCCCTGCCCCTCTCTCCGACCGTTTTCACCAATATAGCGGCCCTGAGGGATTGGGTCACGGAGAACACTGGAGTTTGAGCGCGCGAAGGAAATTTCCACTCTAAACCCTTTACCGACGGTTCAGTTAGCCTCAAGCTTAGTCTGTGATATAAATATATCTTGCTATTTTAATACTGTCTGTTACTGCCGCGTGCGTTCTGTCTATTTATTATTTTATTTTAATTTTTGAATAAAGCTTATTTAATTATTATGTCTTTTAATGTTTTTGATTCCTGAATTCTGATTAAACATTAGCTAAATATTTATTTATAAAAAGATTCGATAAAAAAAAAACTTTGCGAATATTGTGAGATTCATTTATTAACTAGTTCGGCTATTCATCTTAACTTAGGTATAGCAGCGATTAATGTGAATAATCATCCTTATTTTTTTGTTAATAAATAATATGTATGATATAAATTGCAATTCGAAATGATTGCCTTCCCATTTGTTATGATGGAGAGTGTCCGTTTCATATCGGATCTTAGTAACTTAAGCCGATATTTTAACCTTTCCGATATTTATGTGAAAAAGTTGTTGCCGCATTTAATCTTGATGTACGATGATTGATGACACAGTTATCTAGTTCTGTTATTAATAGGGTCGGTATAAATTGGACAAGACTTCTACTTTCAATTTGGAACTTGATCCCCATCTGCCTTGGCCCAAGAAACTCTTGACGATTTAGCATTGCTGCTTTCAATTGAGGACGCGATTTTTAAAACCAAACATTAACAAATTTATTTTAAAGACATAGGAATTAACGATTACATTCTTTAGTGAAGTCAATTTTGTTGTCAGATTAAAGTTTCACATACAGCGCGTCGTTACCATCGCGACAATAAATGAACACACGTCTAACGCTACTTGCCAATAATCATAAAAAAATATTAACGTTAAACAAAATCCATAATTAAAAAAGATATATTTTTCAAACAAACTAATTAAGTAAAAAAGAAACAACATTTGTAATATCCTATACAACTCGCGCCACAGCGTCGCATTACAAGCCTCTCCTTCTAACAGTATGTTTGGTCTCTTTTAAATTCATTCAACCCATTCATATGCTTTGTGACCTTTACAAATGAACTTTACGTTACAGTTTTATACGTAAGGGTGTTCTAAAATTGTTTGTTTTGGAAAATTTAATAACTCGGTAAATATTGATGTTTAAAGAATCTAATGTTTAATACAATTTTAAAAAGTTATCTTCTATATGTGTGTTTATTTATTGTCGCGGTGGTAACGACACGCTGTATAACTGCTGGTTAAATGAAAATACGTTTCATTATAGAAGCTTTGTTTCTGCATCGGTTAATAGCCTCTAAACGTCGCAGGTGTACGAGATGTTCCTAATCGGGTACCAGTTCCGCGTGCTGTCGCCGATCTTCACCATCCATTGGGGGCTGCAGGCGCGTCGCTCGCGGCCCCTGTGGCGCGAGAAGCAGAACGAGAGGAACAGGAAGCACTTCGAGACCTTCAAGCGGGAGCTGTTCGCCAGGTACCGCAGGGACCCTTTGCATCTTCTGCGCAGACCGCAGCAGAAGAAGGCATAGGCCTCGCAGGGCCGAGCGGAGATCGCCGGCCTCATCTTCCTAGTCATGGTTCCTCTTTTCCTCTGACACGAACTTTTATGTTTATTGAAACTAAACCTATACTGCCTTGAGCAGTGGCACATCGAGACTGCAATACGAGGACTTACGTGAATTATTTCCTCGATGTCAGTTTCATCAAATTGTGAGGCGATGTGTTCAGGCAAGGAGTGGACAGTTTATCAAATTTTTTGATGTGAAAGTGTAGTCACATGTATACATAATACAAGTATACATGGCGAGCCGTGGTTTTGTTAGGTAGGTTAGGTAGAAAGAAAAAAATCGAAAATGGTCATACTCATATTGATGCCATTGTTGCGGTAGTCCTGTGTTCGGAGTTGAACTAGTAATTAATGCTGGAGAAAGGTGATTTTTAAACCATTGGATTGGTGGAATAATGATGTAAGCAATACAGTAATTTAAATACCCCCCTTTTAAGGGGCTTGGTAGCTTAGTACCCCTTTTAGTCAGTATTTTGAATTGGCTGGTTTACTTTACCAGCATTGCAATTTTAATGAGCTCTTAGTTTAAGAATAAGAAGATATGTATGTTGTACAAATACGTGTGTAGATTTGAATTATAGCCCAAATCTGTTATCAATACTTCTAAAACATTAATTTTGTTGCAATATACTGTTTATAGGGATCCTTTACACAGAAGAAAATATAAGAAATGTTAAAAAAAAACACCGATGCCAAAACGAACTTTATAAACATGTTTTCCTAAACGGACTGACGATGTATGACGTCAAGCTAATAACTCTTGACTGAAACTAGTGGAAACCGTTGTTTTTTGGCTCTGTGTCGAATTCAATATTTCTTAGTCTTTAGGACTGAAAGCGTAAACATTATCTGACGAAGGCAACTTTTGCCTTGACCTCGCTATCGTTTCTTTAGAAAAAAATGTTTTCTAAAGCACTCACACTGCCATCTTGTGGAAGATGCGAGAACTACATCGAGAAACCTACTAACGTCTTTCACATCTATTTCTGTGACACTTTTTAGTAGATAATAGGTATACATCGCACTTTACACTAGATGATAAATTATCGTTTATGTTTAATTTTAAATTTTTTAAATTTGTAGTGTTAGTACAAAGCTGTTAAAAATTCAATTAACATGATTTAGATGACATTGGTCCGTGTTACAAGACTGGAATATAGCAATTTCTTATTCATACTAATAATCGTAATAGTCTCAATGAAGTTTCGTGTTTGGATGTTTATTAATAATAGATAATGTAAGGAAAACCACAGTGTTTATGTTGTGTATGTGTCAGTTTTCATTTCAGTTCAGTTTTATGTAAAGGACTAGATTGTTTTCCTAGAATTATTTTAATATTTTGCAGTATTAGTTATCTAAGACTCAATAAGGAAAATAATGTGAATGAAATTTATTACTTACCTACTTATTCTTGTATATATATATAGGTGAAGGCAAAAACTTTGTACCTTTTTTTACGAAAATTGCGCGGACGGAGGAATATGAACTTTCCCAAGGAGTGCAGAATGCTTATGTTTTTTTAATTATGCACAAAAAATACATTAAATCTATAAAAAAAAAACATTACACCCACTAAAATGTAATTAATTATGGTCGAATTGCGATCACAAGGCGACCACTAGTTCAAATAATTGTTGTTTTAATTTATAGTTAGCTTATCAATTGCGTAGTTATCTAGCTTCGAATCATTGTTATGATTTTTTCCACCTTTAGGGGTTCGGTATCTCACACTTTACTTTCACACGTACTTGTATTTATATATATATATATTTTTACTAACTCAACACGAAGAATTCATTATCATTAGTAAATGTTCGCCGATGCTAACAAAAAATTTTAGATTGAGATTATTTTATATCTAGAAGAATATCATTATATTGTGGTACATTATACATGGTACAGGGAAACTTTCAGAATTCTTCACAATGTTATAATATTTGAGAACATTTATTAATTAAATACGTATGCAACATCGTGTTTAAATCTATTTAATAACAAAATATAGGTCATGACAAATTGTGTTTATTGATTATTTGATCTCATGTTATAGGTAATCTGTTATGAAACGTAATACACATTTATAGTTGTTTTTTTTAAGTTTTCTATTTACCATGGGTATACATTTTATATGTTGTTATGTGAAATAAAATATAAGGAAATTAGGTTAATTATAGTTTTAAGTACACAAACTTGATGTTATTATGAACATGTTAATTTGATGTGATTTTTTATTTCATCTACTGTGTGTTTTAATGAACGTCAGATCAATACAGATAAACCTTAGATAGGTTTAATAATATTAATGTTATTAGTCGATAAGAAGTCACTAGAAAAATAGTGTAATAAGTTTTTATTTCTTATTACAATATGTTAATATTAAACACTTAGTATAATTGCTATCTATATAGATTTTTTTTATTAATCTTATTATTGTATAGACAATTTGTCAACAGTTGCTGCTTATTCAAAGAGCTTTCGATGTCACTGAATGCGATTTCCAAAAAAAGATTTGTATATAAGAAAGAATTATAGTGATCTATTTAAAAAGATATCAATTTTTGGGAAACGTAAAGAATTGTGCACTTATGAACAGATGCGGTAATTAAAGGGGAGTGAAAGAGATCGAAGTATACGTTATGTAGCTTTCTTAAATCGTCCCTTGTTTTAATAAGAGTCGGAAAAGGTAATCGCTTTGGGTCGTTTGCTGACATAAAGTCAGAACCATTATTTTCTTAATTAGGTCCCCTTAATTCTAAAGGTGCGACTAGCTTATATGGTCATTGTATTTGTAGCAAAAAATTAAAATTTGTGGGGAAAAAATAGATGCGCCAAGCATTGCGGAAGACGTGGGTTCGATTCCCGCAGCGGCGGGGAACTTTTCGTCCCTTTTTTCTACAAATTTTAATGTTTCGTCTTAAGTGAAGAGATCGGCTCTATAAAATTTTAAATATTGCCATTTCATAAAAACACGGCAGAATAACAGCATGCACGCTAAAAGCACTTCTGAACTATTTTCACCAACCTCAGTTACCAAGACAGTCGACGCCGCCCATCCATCATTTTGACTAATAAATAAATATTTCCGAACACATCTTTATGTAACGCACAAGGTTATCTAGTCCAAAACTAAGAAATGCTTGAACTATGGGTATTAGATGACTGATAAACTTATTTAATAATACTTTTCTTTTGTTAATAAATGCATATTATAAATATGCACACACTGGAAAAACATTGTGTTCATTACATAACATTTTTCTAGTGTTGGGGTTCGAAACCACACCCTCTGGCCTAAGAAACAGGTTGCGGCCACCAGGGCAATCGGGTCATCGTGACTGTTACAAGGTTGTATCTTATGAACCGTGACAGACAGTAAATTTTCACAGATGATGTATTTCTGTTGCCGCTATAACAACAAATACTAAAAAAACATATATTAGATAGATATTTTTTTGCCGTTTTTAAATAAGGTACGGAACACTTCGTGCGCGAGTCCAACTAGCACTTGGACGGTGTTACTATTTCGTTATAATTGTATAATAACCTCACTCATCTATTTCCGCATTCTAAGTTTTACAGGGAAGTGAAGGAAAGTGCCCATTTGTGCTTTTAAGGTAATTTTACATTATAATTATAACGGCTGGTTCTCCCTGTAGAGGCGCAGAATCCGGTGCCCGCCTGGTGGACCTGCATTCGGATATTGCGTCACTGTCAATACAGAAACGCCGCCTAAGCAATCCGCGATCACGCCTTGCAGAAGGGTTGTTATTCGTTTATAGAGAACTTTCTAATAAATAAACAAATAAATTCCGTACGGGTCGAGCTAAATAAAACCGTTTAATAATTAAAAATATATTAATTTAAAGTTATTTTGCCTAAGTTGATATATGTACTATACATGTATAATATACGGTTTTAATGCAACAATAAAACCGTTTAAAAACTTTTAAGTTAAACGGTTTTATTTTATGTGCACTGAAAACTACAATATTGTATTGTCTTCAATCTGACAACGGGAAGGTGCTTAAATTTCAATTTCTAATTTTGACCCAAATAAATATTCGGAGAGCCAATTGTCGTGGGTTTGTCCGTTGCCCAAAACCAGGCACAAATGTGTGACAGCGACTTACGTATAGATTAGATATGTACAGTGGTGTCTTTAAAAAGGCTAACACTTTCAATAGTCCTTTTGTTAACGGGGAATTAACAGGGAGTTTAAAATGTAATTATTAAGTAACACAGGGTTCCCGTACGTGAGATATAAATATTTAATGTCTTGTTGTATGTAAACTTTGATTATTTTTAGTTGATAATCATTGTGTTTGAGAGTTTCTTTACAAAAAAAAAAACTCCAGTTCGTCGAGTACGAATCGATAAATGTGAAGTCGTAATTTGTTTTCCAATTTCAAAATCATGTAAACAACGGTGTTGTTTCCGTAAAATTCGCTTGAAACTTCGGCAACGATGAAGCCGAACACATCTTAAGCGAGGCCCTTTGCCATATTTCAGTACCGAAAAGATTGCGAACTTATAGCAAAGTTATTATTATAAAGACTTTGTTATAAGATCTTGACTCGGAACAAAGTAATTTAACTGGCAACCGTTGCTCGTGGACATTTGCACCACCCGTAAGGTTGCAAAGATGTGTTGCCCCTTTTTAATAAAGTCAACCGGGGCTACCTCATCAAACGAAACGCAGAATTATGTATATTTCACTTCACGTCGGACTTTTGTGAGGTCTTGGTACTTACCCGGAAGGACCTGCCCATTCGTGCAACTGTGAAGTCGCGTGGCCCTGTCACAGTATACATGTATAACAAAAATATTGCGTGTGTAATTATTAATATTGCAGGCGATTTGTTATTTTAAGCAATGTGCAATATTGTAAACAATTAAAACAAATTTTTTTTTTTAACAATAATAAATATACTCTATGTCGTTAATTTTAAGTACTGAATTATCACGTGCTCAGCGGTGAAGGTAAGCATCGCGAGGAAACCTGCATATTTTCGAAATAATAACGAAAAAAAATATTTCGAAGATATGTGAAGTCCGTCTATCAAAAGTGGGGCCGCGTGGTGGACTATGCCCTGAGACATAGTCCACCCTCTGTACAGAGGAGGCCTTGGCCCAGTGATACTTTAGGACTCAATATCGTTCAAAAATAACCATTTTTTTTTACTAACGAATAACAAAACCGACTTCAAATATTTCGCTCTGTATTCATTTTATAATTGATCTTCAGGAGTTCCCTGAGTATCTCCGGAGCCCAATATCCAATACCAATGAAATTAGTATGGAACCACATGGGAAGCACCAGCTTTGAAATAAAAAAAAGAATCATCAAAATCGCTCAGTCAAAAGTTCTGAGGTAACAATCTAAAGAAAATACAGTCGAATTGAGAACCTCCTTCTTTTGAAGTCGGTTAATAAAGATTAGCGTTGAGGACAGGTTATTTTGAATTTTCTATTTCTATTGATTGCTACAGGTGGTGTACAAAGTTAAAGTTCAGTCCTTGTTTAACAGTCCTTCGATGCCTAAGCTACGTAACGATGTTTTGCTTTGGGACAGTTATGGGTATTAAAAGAATATAGTTTATTACGTAAGAATTTAATTTATTACATACCTAATAAAATTTGGAATAAATACACTATTGCATGTAAACAACAACGACCTTGTTTAAAATCAAAACCCAATAAGTTTAAATGTTTCAATGTGAAGTGAAAGTAAAACCGTAAACAATACACTATCGCAACGAATTTTGCTTTTAATCGAAAATGTAACAGCAGTTCATTGCTTTGAAAAACATACAATTGCACAAATTAGTTATAGCATGTAATCAAATAAATGTTATCAAGTTCATTACTGCTTGTCATTATTTTATTATCATTAAAAAACATCATTTGTTTTCGTGTCGTGGTCGTGAATTCGATAAGCGGTATTGCATTTTTTATTAATTAGTGACATTATTGAACGATTGGACAACATTTTGAAGGTCAGTGCGGTGACTAGGTCCTGTAGTGCGATGTGTTTTTGACTTGTTTGTGCAGCCAGTCCCATATGGCGGGGTTGGAGAGGCGTGTGTACACGCCGGGGAAGTTGCCCCGGGCGCAGCCTAGGCCCCACGACACCACCCCTATTAGGACGCCGTCTTGCACAATCGGGCCCCCACTGTCACCCTGGAAAGCGTTAGTCGTCATCGGAAAAGTGATACATGATCACGTGTCGAATGGCGAACTTAATACAAGAAAGAAAGAAAGAAAGATACTTTTATTTGTTGGAACATAGTACAATATAGGTTTTAAATGCTGTGGATCCTTTCTGTTCTACCATTCTGGTTATAAATATGCAAAAAAAAAAACAAACAAAAGTAAATATAATCTAGGAAAACCGTTTTTATAAAATTTTATCATTTAAATAATCCCCTGTGGAATAATAACATTTACTTATCAAAAAGTAAAAAAAAAAATTAATTCAAAGTTTTTAATCTATATGCCAATTTATTATATATCCATACAATAACATATGGCCATACAATAACAGTTTTTGCTGAACATTGTGATACGATGGGGAGGCATGTGTAGTTTGTTCGAGAATCTACTATTTCGATTGTTTATTTCTAAATTACTAAAATTAATTAAAATTGTTAACCCATATTTAACACATAACCCTCCCGGGAAGCCACAGACGCCTTTTCACTTACCTGGGAATATATTTTTAATGAGACGGAGTGTTGCTTAACTTTGCAAATACAACTAATACCGATTACAGGAAAATTGCTTAGCTTAACGTAACTGGAAAGAGATTTCACTTGAGATGCAAATAAAATTATGGGTTATATCAGTAAGCAGAGCTGGGGATTACTCTGGGTAAGATTCAATACGAAGATAAGCGTAGTTGAATTATGACTAATATGTTATTTATATATTTTTTTTGTTTTACGTGAAAACTTGCCAAGCGAGCAGGCGGTTCACCTGATGTTAATTGAATACCGCCACCCATGGACATCTGCTACACCCCTGGGTTGCAGATGCGTTGGACAACCATTTGAAAATTGGGCTTACTATTATTACTATTGGGCTTACTATCATTATTACTATTATTGGGTTTACTATTATTACTGCTGGTTTATTATTATGAATTTTTCTTTGAAATATCGGATGTCTTTAACCTCAATGATATAGTCGGAGATAGTAAATGCTTTCGACATGTCATTGTTGTTGTTAAGCCCCAATAGACAAATTCCAATATCTGAAAGCCAGGAAACTTAAAAGCACGCCATTCTCTGAAAATTAATAATCAAGCTACCTAGTTTATTATTGTTTCAAAGTTTGGTTTACTATTGTCTACATCGTATTCCTGTAACGTAGTTTTAAGAACATAGCAACTACTTTTATTATTAAACGAATGAACATGAGATTTTTTTGTTTAAAGTAGGTAGGACATTGTTGGTAACCATATAAAAAGTATAAATAAAATAAATCAATGAAAAGATGCAAATGGATATGAATAATTCGGTACGTCGTTGGTACTTAACTATTAGGAATTACTTTTTCTTTACCTGGCATGCATCTGGCGATGGTTGGCTGAAAGAGCCAGCGCAGAACATAGAAGCTGGATCAATAGACCTTTTGTCAAGCCCCGATCTTCGACAGAGCTTCATGGCGATTGTTAATATGGTCGACGACTGTAGATATGACGCGCTGGGGCCACCCTCCTATCACATTCAATTATATTATTATTGACGACCCGAATGGCGTAGTGGGTGGTGTACCTGCCTTCTGCGCCAGAGGGTGTGCGTTCGATCCCCACTACTGGAAAAATATTTTGTGATGAGCATAGTGTTTTTCTAGTGTCTGAGTGTTCATATATGTATAATGTGTATTTATTTGCAAAAGAAAAGTATGTTTAAGTATGTCTATTAGTTTTCTAGTACCCATAGCACATAACAAGCGTTGCTTTGTTTGGGACTAGAGAACGTTGTGTAAAAAATGTGTCCTAAAGTATTTATTTATTTATTTATTGTTTATTATTAGACTAGCGACCCGCCCCGGCCTCGCACGGGTGCATTGTATTATACATATAAACTTTCCTCGTGACGGCCTACAGCACGATGGACTGACGACCTAAGAAAGGTGGCGGGCAAGGTGGTTGGCGCACTTTGGTGGAGGCTTACGTTCAGCAGTGGACGGCGATAGAGGACGGCGATAGGACGGCTGATGTTGTTGTTGTGATCAAATTTCTCAACATCAGCGCCCGGTTTCTGAAACACTGATCATGATAGAAGTTAACTAATAGGCTGTGAAATGGCTTTTCAAATGTTATTTTAGTTGCCAAAGGGATTGTTAAAGTCTTTAAATTGATCATTCTGATCATTAAGAATATCATTCTGATCAATTCAGAGAGTTTAACAATACTTTTGCCTACTCAAATAACATTTGGAAAGCCATTTGACAGTTGATTAGTTAACTTCCACCATGATCAGTTTTTTAGAAACCGGGCGTCAGAGTACAATTATATCGTGGTCAAACCTCACTATCTCCCTTCGCTACTCGATTAAATCGATGCAATCGGTATATTACAATCGGCTGTACAGGCTCACCCGCAGCTTGCCCCACCCGGAGACGATGGCCGGCTTGTTAGCGGGCAGTCTCGCCGCCTTCGAGATGACCGCTATCGGCATCACCGCCGCGGAGAACCGCAGCGGCGCGTACAGCCTCACCAGCCCCACGTCGTTGCTCTTCGCCTTGCCCGCATACCGCGGGTGGACGTGGCTCTCCATCACGTCGTACATTTCGCCGCCGTGCGTCTTCCACGAGGTGCCCAGCCGCACGCTCAGCTCGTTCGCCCGCGACCTGGTGCGCTCTAAAGGCTCAGTTTTGAGCGAACAGAAATACTAGAGCAGGCGGTTCACCTGATGTTAAGTGATCACCACCGCCCATGGACATCTGCTACACCCGAGGGTTGCAGATGCGTTGACAACCTTTTGAAAATTGGGCTCCGACTACCTCACTCACCAGACGAAGCGCGAAAGTATTATACTTCCACTTTACGCCGGTCTTCTGTGAGGTCGTGGTACTTACCCGGACGAGCCTGCCCACTCGTGCAACAGCCGAGGTTGCTGCGTGGCTCTACCACACTTCTTTTTGGTTTTTGTAAAATACTTTGCCCTTACTGTGGGATTACACGATCTTCTGTTGTAAGGACGTTTTACAAACATGAATATCACGTGGACGAACACCCAGATGTGAAACAATTATCTGTGGCTCTCACAGATTGTTGTCCCGTGCGGGGACATCGAAGCCACGACCGCAGCCAATACCTTGAACACTGCGCATCTGAATCCCAATGCAGACATCGCTTTTATTCGTTTTTATTGCGTGTGTTTTCTCTCTGCCTTTATCTCGCCTAGGCGTCAGTACAAAATGTGAATCACGTTGTTGATGGCTGGGATACAATTGACTGCATAGTCGATGTCGAGGACGATGCCGGAATCGCATCGACTAAACCCGGTCACGGGACTATTTCTAATATTTCCGCAGCCCCGCCATCTCTTGCCAGCTTCTCTTCAAATATCTATCTCAGTGTTTTTAATTTGGAGCAGTTACCTGGTGTATTTTCGAAGTCCAAGATGTAATACCAATTAATATGGAAACGTAGGTGATGAAAACCGAACACGATGCAGAAATAATTTTCAAAATCGTTTTATTAATGACGGAGTTCTGAGGGAACAAACATGAAGAAACAACTTCTTTCACTATATATAGTCAAACGCCTTTTTTGGAGTCGGTTGTTTGTATATTGGAAGAACAAGCAACTTTATTTAAGATTAATCAGGTTTATTTCCGACTACCTAAGTACTCCTACCTTATCCTTTGCTGTTATTTTTTGTATATTTTTGTTATGCGACAAAATATGAAAAATATAAACGTCACACGTCGTGATAATCTTAAAGCCCGCTTAACGTTATCTTAATGATATTCAAAATTACTTCTTAGCAATGTTATTGTTGATAACAATAATGTCTAAAAAATAATAAAAGGTTAGTAATGTCAAAATATGTATAATATGCAGAAATAACCAAGAAACTCAAGGTGATACCGAAGTGGATAACTTACATCATCTTATCATTGTGTCATATTACTTGGACCGTAAATTTATAAAAAAAAATATTTGTAAATTTGTCTTATCAAAAGATGAAACAAATTTTTAAATAATAAAACGTTTTTATGGAAATGGTATGAAAATATCAAGCATGAACAATAAAACAGAAATGCTTTAGGGTAAAGATATTAAAATATCTTATATCGCTGCATTCCTGTTCTATTATCCTAGATGAAGATTACTGCAGGTCCATAATTTAAAAAAAAAATTGCACAGACTGTGAATACAGACGCATTAAGATCGCGCGAATTCTGAATTATTAGAAGGTTTCGGTAAGTTAACCATTAATATAATTGTTTTAACTCGGAGTTATTTGAATGATCATAGTCTGCAATTGTTAGGATTTATCCGGGTCTTTCCCCGCATAAAGTAACAGCCTATACATATCCCACTGTTGGGCAAAGGTTCCTATGTGCAGAGGGTATTAGCTGCCCCACTGCGGTTTGGGAGACTTCACGCATCTTCGAAATATTTTGTTATTATTTTGAAAATTGAATTTGCTGCAGATTTCCTCACGACGTTTTCCTTCACCGCTGAGCATGTGATAATTCTATCCCAAATATAACAGGTAATTTTTATGTAAGAGTATCCTATTCGTACTCATTGCTTAAACTCTTGCTCTGCACTTGCAAGTCCCCTGGCTCCTGAGAGTTTCTTGCCGGTTCTTCTCTTGCAGGTCTAGTTTAGTGAACCGGTGGTAGTTTTTGACCTTCAATAAGAGCTTAAAATAAGCCTATGTTGAATAAAGAAATTTTGACTTTGACTTTGAAAAAACCTATGGGAGTACGAAATTTCATTCGAATCCTTACAGCAAATGTGGTATGGTGGGGGGAAAATACACAGACTAAAACTATCGCATTTCGATATTATCGTGTTTTAGCCGATACGAGACTTTCGTCGGAGGCCTTTTGTGTAACTGGAACAAACTTGAGGATTTGCGCCAGTGCGGGGCTGGAAATAATCCTGTTCGGGCGGACTTTAATGACGGCCTATTGTTCCAACTTCGACGGCCACTTGAATTCATTAACAGGTTTTGATTGAATCCTCGTTTCAAACAAGTTTGAATAACGTTATAACAACGCCCTAATGAATCCAGGAGTTTACGTGGGAAATAACTTTGACAATATGTATGTATTGTAAATTTGAGGTTTTTAACACATATTTTTAATGTATGTTTAAAGTTTCAAAAACATCTTTTGGTAAATGAGCTGCTGGCTCTTAATCCGGTTTTAGTGATAGAAAAAATCAAATCAAAATCTATATACATTTACAGAAGTTGTAGGTTTGCAAATGTATTGCCACCCATTAGAAAAGGTGGCCGGTTAACTCACTCATCAGATAAAGAGCAAAAAGTAATACTTCTCCTTGGCAGATCCTTGAGGGAAGGTACCACGATCTCACAGAATACGAGTATGAAGTGCTGCTTTTTGCCTGGTGGGTGAGGTAACCAACTGGGGGAGGAAATTTATTAAGAGGTGGCAACGCTCATGTAACCCTGCGGATGTTGCAATTGTCCACGTACGGCGCTCACCGTTTAACACTAGGTTACCCACCAGCTCGATTGCCATCTTCTTACGTAAAAAAACGAGTACATCATTAAACAAGTGAGCAGGAAATTCTTAAGTCAAACAAATTACACCTACCACCTTAATATTCAGCGACATGGATTCTTATATTGAAGTCGAAGATGTTCTATTTATGCTGACGATTATATTTGCGCTGCCTAGTATTCGGACTGGAACAGAAGGCCAATGGATTGGTCAGAAGTAATAAGAAATCAAATAATTCCACTACACACCAACGTAGTATTCGGGTCCAGCCGGTCAAACCCCTTTACATCATAGCAATTACAACAGCTCTCTTTAGCACATGTAAAGTATGATGATGTTAACTATAAAAAAACCTTTTATACTGACTTGATTAAGCAGTGGGCTGCTGTGACCAACCAGACGTCGGTGATGATGGAACCGCCACATATTGGATAGGTCCTCTCCCGCAGCGACACCTGCCAGGGCACGGCAGCAATCGATGTGTTCCGGCCAGACACAATCCTCCTTGTCGATGCTGCGTCGGTTAAATATGAAGTAACAATCAGATATGACGTCTTTTAAAACGTTAAGAGATGCAAGTGCTTGTGCTAATGTATTCATGTTTTGTGCATATCACCCCATTCACAAGCAGTTCAAAACATCAAATTTTTATATGTTGTCCTTTTATCCTGGCTAAAATTTACTGCAGACCCATAATTAAAAAGAAATTACTGTGACTGTGCTCGCAGTAGAGTTCAGTGTTTTTTTTAAACATTAATTTACATTAATAAAGTTTTAAATTGATTTGTGAAATTTTAGTACTTAAAACCAAATTTAACAGATCATGCGGAGTAAGTCATTCGGTTTTCCCTATTCGGTTTACTTGCTAAGTAAAGGTTAACAAATTTTGACTATAAATAAATATACAATTTCTTTATGAACGCCTTTACACAATTTGTAAAAATGTTTTGTGCTAATAAGAATGCTTACCTTTTCTATTTCTACCTGAAAAATATTTAATTTATTAAATCAGGCTTTTGTGAGCTAACAATTATTTAATATTTTAATGAATTGTATAATTAATATTATAATTGAATTGCTTGGAATATCATAACTTCATAAAAAAAATGATTTATTTTATTTCTTCAGGACAAAATACTTTAAAATTAGATTATATAAACAGGAAATTTATACTGATAAAGTTTTTTAAGTATTTCTGTTTCTACTATAGAATCACAAAAACTTACTCATTAAGTTGTTCAGCAATGTTCTATACAATTCCTTGTACTTTTCACGAGTTTTGTCTTGATCTAAAAACCCCAGTATGTCGTTCTTATTAGTTTCAGCTTCCTTTGCCAGCTCAGAAAAATCTATGTTTGGTCCGAAGTCGGCATCGTCGCTGAACAGTTGAACAGTTGTCAAAAGAGAAACAATTACACAAACAATTACAAATACACCACTTGACATTATGATTGGTTTCAAATCATATATTCACTTTATGCTTCTTCACTTTACTATAAAAAAAGTTCTATTAATTTTTAAACTGTTAAGACAAAAAAAAACTTATGTCAACCAAACATGAATACAAAAGCAAAAATTATTTGCGGCAAAAACATATCTTAAACGGGCATCTGAGAGAATTTTCCGAGATTTTATTGCAAGCATTTTCTGTATACATTAAAAGCGCTGACCGTGAAATTGATTTTGTGCCTTTAGACTGGAATAGTTTATTCTTAGATGTATACTTTTAAATGTAAAATGCATGTACCACTGTTATTTAAGTCCTACTGATCCATTGATTTAGATATAATGATATAGTATATCCTATTTATTGATGGCCAAAAGTCTTGATGGTCGTGTGTCATCGCCCAATGAAGCAAGATCACAGGTGAAAAGCAAACTGTGTTTCAGATTTTCAAAGAAAAATTAGAATTAAGTTAAAATAAGTAAAAAAATCTAATAAAGATTAACTAATTATCGGGTAGTTTTATGTTTTACTTAGAGTATAATTCAAACGTTTATTCAAATTAACGATACAAAACGCAAATTGAATCATTAATTTCCTTGAATTCGACAATTCGCTAGGGTACAGTTAAATTGGGACTGACAAGACAGAAAAACGCGATGGATGTATTTAATTCGTGTCTTATTAGGGCGTCTATTTGGACGAGGCCTTTTTCCTCGATAACGTATTGTTACACAAATACGACGATAAACGATTTCGAGGCATCGTAAAGTCTGCACAGACAGCTTTACGAGGCGGAACGAGTGAAACGAGCGAAGCGTATGCGTTTTATGCTGAACAATTGGTGTCGACAACTGCCCCAGTTTGGTAGTATGTCTTGTGTTTAACAGAGCTCTAATCTTGACACGGATGATCTCATTAGTGCGTTATTTTGGGAGTATATTCCCATAGTAAAGTGTCAGCCTATACGTCCCATGGTTGGACAAATCTATCAGGGAATGGTCCACCACGCGGCCCCACTGCGGATTGGCGGACTTCACATATCTTCGAAATATCTTTTTTTCATTATTATTTCGAAAATATTTAGGTTTACTCACGTTGTTTTCCTTCACCACTGAGCACGTGATAATTCGGAACTTACAATTAGCAATTTCATTGGTTTCAGGCACCATGAAACGAACTCAAGTTGCTCGAGTATATTGCATTAAGGCCACTGAGTTATCACGGCCGACAGATCGTCCATCAAAAAACTTGTTATTAAACTTGCGATCTAACGATGAATTAGGTGGTGTTAGTTTTCTTGCTCATTACCCTTAAGGTCCATACGAATGAAGCTGAGGACTTGGGGGGATTAAGCTACTTTTGAACGGAAAAGTTATGTCGACAAAATAATGCCCGAAGCACAGTGCACTATATTCAAAGACAATCGATTCGAAATATTCCCCTAGCGCTTGTTCCACTGTCACGTTGTTACCGACTGGCGACACGTGGGCCATCGATTATTCCACACCGAACGTATGGAACAAAACCTTTTGACATCCCGCAGGAGGATGGGAAATTGCGGGGACCGAAGTGTCGCGGAAAATCTTACTTAGATTTTCCTGTATACCAATAGTAGAATGGAACGTTAAAAGTTTACGGGATTTAATGTAAAAGATATGTAATGTTTGATAAACTGTTAATAAAATGATTATAATTGCTCGAGTATATTGAAAATTTTTAAATTTTAGATAGATTTAATCTTGTAAATATTGGATCATAAAATGAATACAGAGCGAGATATTTGAAGTCCGTTTTGTTTTTCGTTAATAAAAAAATTTACTTGTAAGTTAAATTTTCTTATACCGCTCGGCCTGCCAATAGCTCTTTGTGTAGATAAATCCAAGGCACGAATGTGACGGCATTCTTTATAGTTTTCCCCTCGAGAAAGTCCCTTTCCGCAATTTCAATTTGGCTTGGAACCTTGGGTTGTTTTTAATGCAAAGCAGCGATCGACCTCTGCCTTCACGTTAGATTGCCACCGTTCTATTGAAATAAAATATTATGTATAGTTTAGACGTGATAGAAAATACTAGATGAGTAAAAACTGAATTTTTTTTTTATTTCCCACTTTTTTGTTATTATTTTGTTTATTTTTTTTTGTTATTATTTTGAAAATATATTATGCTCGTTTCCTTATTCACGATGTTTTCCTTCACCGCTAAGCACGTGTTAAGTTGGCACTTAAAATTAACAATTTTAAGTGCCAACGCCAGCACCGGAGATCGAACTCAAGTTACATGAAAGAAAGAAATAAAATACATTTATTTACCAAAACCAAACTTGAGTATATTGAATTGATGGAGACCGCCCGGACACGGGGCCATCTGGACTGTTAAAGTTTAAGGAATAAATAAAATTAATACACACAGCGTGTGGTCACTTCATTGTAAGAGAGCTGCCGTGATAATAAAGTGTATGGTTTTGCAAAGCTCTTTATAAAAAAATTTTTTTATTTTTATTGTAACAAAATCTACTCGTTTACTCTTTTCATTTAACATTTACAATATTTGCTTATCAAAGCTATAAGTTTTTAGATTTGCCCAAAAGTCTAAGAGTTAATATAATTATTTTGTATAATTATTTTGTTTTACATTTTTTTGATTGATTGCTTGACTATAAAGTTAATGAAAATAAATATAATTGTAGTAGTAAATTCTGTGACATAATTGAAAGTTTTATAATTACAATTTTTTAAAATGAATTTTAATTAATTGATTATAATAATAAATTTTACATTAATATTTATGTCCCGAAGTCATTACAACAATATGATACGCACCGATATAACATTCGAGATGACAAAATTTTCATCTGTAAAAAATTTTTTTTAAATATTTCACCCATAAAAATACTCTTTACAATTTTTTTTCCTTAACATAAGACCAAAAATATAATTTGTTGTAAATTGTTTCAACATACTTTTCTAGTAGCTTTTGATACATCTCAAGGAATTCTTTGTATGAATTCATAAAAAACATTATATTTATATACAGGATATGAATCAACGAAAATAATATGCGTCAACAAAACAAATGTTTGTTCCAGTAATAGCGCCATATTTATTTTTCATTTCGCCTCTCCGTTTACACAATTTCCAATATGTAAAATACACACGGAAACCTGGATAGTCGTTCGAGTTGTTTGTAAATAATTTTTGGCACACACTCCTATGATTAAGGAAAAGGCGGCTTTGTTTATATTTCGAGGTCTTATCAATAATTACTCTTTAGTATGATGTCCTCACATTGTACATTTACGGCCATCACATCTTTTGAATGAAATAATTTTTTCAAAGAGCGTCATATTTTTATGTTATGATAAAGAGAAAAAGTATATTTTAGTTGTTACATGAGGTTTTGTTTTTTTTTAAGGTTTTTAGTTTTAGTTTCATTGTTCTAGTATATATTTTGTATTAGTTTATCATTTGAATGTTATTTAAGTTTGCTTATAGCTTTTTAATTATAATTATGATGATGTTTTTCTAATATGTATGTAATTGTAAAGAGTAAATGATATAAACGGAGGTCAAACACCAGCCGCTGTCTCGTATGGCTGTGGGAATCGGACCCACGTCTTCGCGATTCGCGCCCTGACGCTCTAGCCTCTAAGCTAAACGGCTGATTGCTACACCGACGAAATTCTTAACGCCTTTTATCTACATTGCATTTTAGCATTTGAAGCAATGCTTGGCGCATCCATTGTTATATCCTTTCCAGATTATATATACGTGTTTGCGTTGGATTAGTAGTGCATGCCTGCGTGCGTGCGTGTGTGTGTGAGCGTATGCGTAAGTAATAAGTTTTTTTTTAGATTACTAAAAGATGATGTAATTCGTGAAGCGTGCCGTAATCTGGAGTTTTAGAATTTTCTTGTAGTTGCTAGGTCTGGAAGTGCACTGTAGGCTACTACTGCGCCTATTTACCCATTTACCTATTAGCCTTTAGGAAAAGTACAACTAGAAGGCTTATTGTCTGAAAAAAAAAAGTCTGCCTATATTACATTAACGTTACCACGAGTTTTTGTTTGGATACATATCTGTCACAGTTACTAAAGATAAACATAGCTTTACATTTTGAATCTTCTAGTAACATAAGTCAAGCAAGGTAGACAAACTACGTTAAGGAACTGAAGTAACAGATAAGTTATTAAAAATGTAAGTCACCAATGTACCAGTCAACCATTAGTTTTGACCAATGACTAGTAGATAGGTTGAGTGAAAAAATATGTCATGCTTTCACAAAACTTGTACTGCCCAAAGACTTAACCAACCCAACGATCATACTTCTAATCCCTATCAATTCCATGAGCGAAAACTGTTAAAAATGTGGAATGTCAATAAACTATCATAACCTCAAAATAAAAAAGTACCCGGAGGACCGAGCTTTGCTCGGTTTGTTTTTTTAAATCGTGTGTTTTGGAAATTACATTTAGATACAAATTACTGAGTAATGAAATCTGCATAATATTTTTCGATCTTACCGACCTAATAATAAGAAAATATGAAGTGGTGTTTTTCACAAAAGAAACAACTAAAAAAAAAATAACAAAATCATCTGGATCAACAAAAAATAAAAAATCTGGAATAAAAAAAAAAGTAAAAAAAAGAGTGTGTAAATGATCGTGACACGAACCACGGCCGTCTGTTTTGAGGCCTCCCGATTACCGACCGAGTTATTATGACATTTTCTCTTGCGGCGAAATTTACCGTCATATTCGAATAATATTTTTCAATGCCTGAAAACAGGGATAAAAGGACATTTTCTAAGAATAAAACCTAGCTAGATCGATTTTTCGCCCCCGGATCTACGAACATACTAAATTTCATGAAAATCGCTGGAGCCGTTTCCGAGATTCCGATTATATATATATTTATACAAGAATTGCTCGTTTAAAGGACAAGAAAGATTGAAAATGTAATATCTTATTATTAGATATTCATCAATTAACATTCTTAATATAAAGTTGCTACAGTAAAGAGTGAGTAATAAACAGTTTTAGAGATTCCTTGATCTATAAACGTGTGAATAAAAGTGTGGTTGTGTAACAATCAGCACGCTATCTTCTACAGATCGACTAAAATTGCGATAATTGAAATTGCATTTACTTATAAAACGTTATCTATATTGGTAGATAGGACTAATTCGGGCACCTATTTTGGAATCACCGAAACTCAAATTACTACATAATATAATGAATTTAGTCACAGAAAACAATTTCCCGGATTTGCTGTGAAAGTAAATAAAGTAGTGGAAGTAAGGTCACTTTGTGTGTATTGGTAGAATCTACAATAAATTGACCGCTTTATTTATCTCAGAAAAAATATTTTTTTGTAACCTTCTTTCATTCTATAACCGGCAGTCTTTCCGAAATATTGTTTAGTTGAGCCCGTGATAAAACAGTGTTTTTTACTGTTCCCTTATAATTACATAAAAGATCACGCGATTACAAGATTGATTATGTATTCGTTAAATGCATTATATTCCGCGACTATTGATTGGTATATTGTTCTTTTTGGTTTTGAGGAATTTCGTGATTTATCTGCGTGGCCCAAGATTCAATACCAATGAAATTAATATGGGACCACATGGAGGCTAAACCACATCTACTGCAAAAGTAATTTTTAAAATCGATTTATAAATGTCGGAATTCGGAACAAATAGAAATAAAAAAATACACCCGATATATGAACCTTCTTTTACCTTAAGTCAGTTGAAAGAAGATTAAATCCCTAGTAATTATTAATATCCTAGTAAACGTTGGGGATACTATGATGGCAAAAGAAAAGGAAATGAATATGGCTCATTATAAGAAATAAATTTTCAAATCGTTAATCAACATGAGCTTTTTTTATCCAGGCTCTATAATAGAAAGTTTTGTGGTGGATTCAAGGAGTAAATGTGTGAATTGGAAGAAAATAAATGAAATGTTTGAGCAAAAGCAAAAGAAAATTCCGGGACGGACAGACAGTTTGACATTGCTAATGTACTAAATTTAAAGCAAAAATTATTTACTGAGTATTATCATTACTTATCAAAAAAAAATGTTTATCAATGTTATTCACTTGATGCATTTCAATATTCAAGTGTTCATTTCATTATAGATGCATGTGCATGGAACATGATTTTCCTAATTCTTCTACTTGTGACACTACTTATCCTGTACTTGTATGGTACGAAGAACTATGGATATTGGAAGAAGAGAGGAATCAAGCATGACCCACCAATACCATTTTTCGGCACCAACTGGGATACGTATGCCATGAAGAATAGTATGACTCAGAAGGCTGAAGAACAATATCGGAAATATCCAAATGAAAGGGTTGTTGGTTTTTATCGGGCGATGCGACCGGAGCTGGTGATAAGAGATCCCGAAATCGCGAAGCGCATTTTGACAACAGACTTTGGGAGTTTCTACCTGAGGGGTTTCAATACTCATAAAACTGTTGTGGAGCCGCTGCTTAGGAATTTGTTCACCGCTGAAGGAGATCTTTGGAAGTTGCTGAGACAACGTATGACCCCAGCGTTCACCTCAGGTAAGTTAAAGGCGATGTTTCCTCTCATCGTAGAACGCGCTGAGCGTTTACAGAATCAAGCTATTAACGCTAGCGAAACAGGACGAGTTTTGGATGCGCGTGAGATAATGGCGAGGTATACTACCGATTTCATTGGTGCTTGCGGATTTGGCATTGACGCTGATTCGCTCAGTAACGAGGATTCCGCTTTCAGAAAACTAGGGGCGGAAACATTTACCTTCCGTTTTTATGAAGTTTTTGCAATGATGCTCAAAGAGATGTTCCCTGAAGTATTCAAGCGTTTAAAGTTATTTGGTAAAGTAGAGCAAGAAGCATTTGACTTAATCAGTGGTATTTTTAAACAAAGAAATTATGAGCCGTGTGGAAGAAACGATTTTATTGATTTATTCTTAGAGTTAAAGAAAAAAGGTAATATGGTTGGAGATTCGATAGAAAAAATTACCTTTGATGGCAAAGCTCAACAGGTTTCTATGGAGTTGGATGAATGGCTTATGGTTGCTCAAGTGTTTGTATTTTTCGCCGCGGGCTTTGAAACTTCTTCGTCAGCAACGAGCTTTACTTTACATCAGCTCGCTTATCACCCGGAAGAGCAGAAAAAGGTCCAGGAAGAAGTTGATACTGTCCTGGCCAAATACGAAGGCAAACTCTGCTATGACGCAGTTAGAGAAATGACATATCTAGACTGTGCCTTTAAGGAGGCAATGAGAATTTTTCCGTCATTAGGTTTCCTAATGAGAAAAGCTGCACGTAAATACACATTCCCAGAATTAGATTTGACAATTGACGAAGGTGTGAGTATTATCATTCCTGTGCAAGCTATGCAAAATGACCCAAAATACTTTGATAACCCTGAACAATTCCATCCAGCGAGATTCTTACCTGATAACATCAATCCTAGATCAAAAACCGTATATTTACCGTTTGGTTTGGGACCACGAGCATGTATTGGTAAGTCACAACATAATCAAATAAATTACTTAACAAGACATAAACTAATCGCTATTTGCTGGCAGGCACAAAAAATAATAATGACCTCATATCAAGTTCTATTTTGATAAAAGTCAGTTTAATTCAGGGTCTATAAGTCCTACAATTTCATTGCCTGGCTCATTTTCAATTAAAAATAAAAATATGTAATTTTTAAATAACTGTCACGCTCATATAAGGCAGATAAGAAAACTAGTAATAAATTGTTATTTATACTTTTCTTATCTGCCTCTAATTTATAATGTTTTAATAAATATCCATCATATAATACATTTTATTTGACAGCTAACTTTTTTGACCGTTTTAGGTGAACGACTTGGGCAGATGCAGTCAATAGCAGGTCTAGCCGCCATACTGTCCCGGTTTTCAGTTGAGCCCGCGCCCCAATCGCTGAGGAATCCCGTGGTCGACCCATGCTCAAGTGTAGTTCAAAGTATTGAAGGCGGCTTGCCGCTAATGTTCCGCAAACGACCTATGCTAAATAAATGACTACACCTATTATTATAAATGTATTAGAAGAGTATACAGTAATATACTTTGTACAAGAGTAAAGAAAAGGTTGGCTGAAATAAAAAAAAATATGAATAAGGTAAAGTAAAAATAATGAAACGCATAATGTGGTTTGACCCCTGCAGCGCCTGCAGCCGCAGCGAAGTCTAGTTTCGTGACACATCTATTTTTTAAAGTTGGTACCAATATAACATGATTAGATAAAATTAAAACTATTTTCTTGTTATGCATGAAACCCCTCTATGACCTATGACATAGGATAATCAGATAATTCATGCGCTACAGAAAATGTAATGTCTTAAATACGAGTATATAAAATTGATGATATCATTGTGAATTACGTATTATTAAGGGAATAATTACTGGAATAAATTGGTAACAATTTTACAAAATTAAAAAGCTACACTAACTCAAAGGAGTAAGACTATTGTTTACCTCCATAAGTAAGTTTTTAATTCGATATATCTACGTTTATAAATCAATTTGGAGCAAAACGCGCGGATTGGCTACTAGCCAAATGTTTGGATACATGTGGATAGTTCACATAATTCGGAGAATAAATTTACACGATATGTAATCAAAGTATCTGGTTTCGAATTCCAGTTTCGACTACTTTATTTCGGTTTCGTTTTTTTTTATTTCTTATGCTGTGAGTCTTTGTTTTTTGCGTACCACTGTGTAATTTCATGTGTTTCACTCTAATGAATAGAGGTAACTCAGGAGACCTTGTGATGTTTATAAGCCATATGACTGCCATAAGTTTAATTTAGTTTATTGTGTATCATCAACATGACGTAGCTACAATTAAAAAAAAAAGCAATATATCTTTGAATATGCAGGGCGCTATCGATCGGTAGAAGTGGATGTCAATGGAGGAGGCCTATGTTCAGCAGTGGACGTCCTATGGCTGATATGATGATGATGAAGGAATGGTTTTTCGTCTCGTTGAGCTTTCATTTATTTTTCGTAAAAAAAGTTAAGCCAATCTGAACTGCAATCTTTTTCCTAACATAAAATTTCAAATGAAACATTACGGGAACGCAAAGCATATTGTAACGCAGAATGCTTAGAAAGCAATTGAAAGTTATTTAGTTGTGTACCTCATATTTTTTTTTCTTTTGACTTATCAGCTTACTGAAATAGAATATCTTTTCAAGTGTAAGAGACTTCTCAGTAGACAAACTTAAAGTCAAAATGTCGATATTCAATAGAGGCTTATTTTAAACTTTTATTGTACGTCGAAAAACTACCACCGGTTCACTAAATTACACCTGTCCACAGAAGAACCGGTTAGATTATATTACGGGTCTTTTAATCTTTTTTTAAATGATGTAAAATCTGGTTAGATTGATTATAATTCAGGTCTCTTAATCTTTTTTTAAATGATGTGAGTATACAAAAATATGTGCCTTTAATATCGGAACCAGCCAGTCGGAGAGCAAGAGACTTTTGTGTATAAGGTTGCTTCACTATATCAAGATCTGTTTTGGGAAGGAAGTGAACATTTAGAAAGTGATAACAAATTATGATCAAACCGATATCCGCCAAAGCGATTCACACTGATTCCGATGGTTTGAACAAATTAAGACAGATCAAGGACGTTGACCGCGAAAGCGGAGCGAGGAAACGTGCGTCGAATACTTTAGGATAACTTCAGCAGCTGTTGCACGAATGGGCAGGTCCGTCCGGGTTAGTACCACGCCCTCACAGAAGACCGGAGTGGTAGTGGTAGTGTTATATACTTCTGCGTTTCGTCTGGTGAGTGCGGTAGCCGGGGAGTTCATTAAGAAGTGGCAACACATTTGCAACCCTACGGGTGTTGCAAATGTCCACGGGCAGGCGGTTATCACTTAACATCAGGTGAACCCTCCAGATCGTTTGCCACTTTCTCACATAAACAAAAAATAACTTCATGTAGTGAGATGACGAGCAGCCACAAAATTTGTGTTGGTGCCAATTGTTTACAGAGTTTCCATTAAAATCAAGTCAAAAGAAGTTCGGAATTAAGGGACGAGTGGATATTGCAGCAAAGTTTATTATAATTTATTATAATTGCGTTTAAAATAAATATAATATATTTATTTTATTATACCGGATTATATTTGCGGATCGTTATAATTGCTTGTAGGGCTTATCATTAAAAATACATCAAAGTTGGTCCTAGAAAGCGTATAAATTTTGTATTTCATTAAAGAAACACATAATTATGTGAATAATGCTATAAACAGAATAGTTTTTAAAGAACAAGTTTCACTGTTCAAGGAAATGTGAAATTCTATTAGGTATTTTTGAAACCTAGAATATGTCGTTATTATATGAGGTAACGCTTAAATTTTCTTCTCTTAAAACCTTGTTTCAAAATTTTTAAATCGGGTGAATCCGCAGCCGAATCCAATTAAAGCCTTTAGCTCCTGGTGGATACTGAAACTTTTGTACTCGAACGAACGCTAATTAAATTAGTTTCACACGAAGAAGTTTTACGATGGGGGTACATACATGGTCACATTTTTCATGCTCTTTTATTCAATTGGTTTCACCATGAACTGAGGTGATCTTAGGTGAAATAGGTTTAAACGAATTACCGCAAAAGCATTAAATAAGCTGCTTCTTTACTTCTTCTGGTGCCAAACGTCATGTGGCTGCTTTGAATTCAGTGGATTTTTTTTTATCTTTGCTCTTACTTTAGGATAACATTATCCTGTGTTGTAAGGACGTTTTACAAACATAAATTTCACACGGACAAACACCCAGATGCGAAACAACTATCTGTGGGTCACACAATAGTTGTCACGTGTGGGGGTCGAGCGCACGACCCCGGACGCCGAAGCCGATACCTTGGCGACTGCGCCACGGAGTCATCAAAGGAGATTTGTAATGCTTATCGGTTATATTATGCAGTGATCCGATATAATTAGAATTAATTTCAGTAACTAAGATTTGGAGAGCGCGTAGAAATCGCTCGAAATCCTTCCCCGTGATCTGTGGTCTCCACTTTAATTGTCTTTCCTTTTGTAATACATAAAAAAGCCTGGCAAAGTGTGCTGAAAAACAAATTATTGTGCTTTATGTTAGGTGGGATGGTTTTTAAACGACAGTTTCGGAGTGAAAGGCTTCAAATTATGATGTCACACAAGATGCATCATCGGTAAGTTTTTACACCAATTTGCTAACACCTTAAGAAAAAAATGTAAGAAAGGGCGGACTTAATGCCCAAAGGCATTCTCTACCAGTCAACTCAGTTAATGGCTATTGTAGACGCTGTCTATCTATCGCGGATATGGGGATTAACACGATGCATAATTGTAATGGTTATTCGTATATTATGTGACTTGAGGTAGGAGGAGACGTCTCACTTAGCGCTAACACACAGACCTGTAACTACAGGGTCGACTATAGAGATGTCTTTCTGAGATATTTACAGTTGAATTGGCACTCTATTTTGACATATAGAATTTTCGAAGTTATTTTTTTGGCGCGTTAGGAAAAAATGATGAGAGTAAATTTTTACAATGCGCGCACACCATCACGAAAAACCGACACCCTGAAGTTAGATAGACATCTACATGTGGCATGGAATATCAGGTTGGCTTAGGTAAATATTTTATAATTTCATGATGCTGTGTTAAAAGTTAAATTAAATTATTTGTAATTAAATATATTTTGTATGGTAAAAAGAAATAGGAACAGCGTAATAATTTTTGTCTTGGAGCTCCAAAGAGTTACACACGTAGTCCAACTGTTTATTGACGGACTTCTTCTTTTTTTATTTTTCATATGTTCAGTTTTCTCCTTTAAATTCGAACAATTTGTAATCAAAATCAGGCACAATTGCCAGACAAACAATTAATGAAAAGTTGCAAAACATTTAGCTAATCTTGAAGATGATGGTATCGTAATTGTTACTTTTCTAATAAACAAGACTTGTTTATTAGGAACTGTTGATAAAATGAGTCAAAGGTGATAGGCGATAGGTGATAGACTTAAAATCTAAGAACATACTGCAGATTGTTTCGACAAGTTTAAGCAAGAATTTAAACCAACACCTTCGTTTCATATACACTTGGGTAAGCCTGGTGTTCGACGGCTTCTATTGTATAATAATATAATAGTGTTATAAATAGAAACGATAACTGATTTTTTTAAAAATGGTACCAAACTATGGTAAACGCCATGGTAAGCGGAAGAAGTAGTGATTCTAGTTGGTTTAAAGAATAAATTAGCAAGGTTATATAAATTTAACAATGATCTGAATCTAATAGAGGTGGTAGAATTTTCTAATAAATTTATATTAAAGTCAGCACAGACAATAATATATTTATTAGACTCAGATAACTTCAACATCAATTCTTCTAAAACATTTTCAAAAGATTCATATAACGCACTAGGAGGTCTGTATACGCATACAACAATGAATTGCTCAAGCTCCGCACAGGCTATTTCAATAGTCTGCTCAACAGAGAGGCTCACAACATCTTTGCGGTTCTTAAATTTTAAAGCATTATTAATAAGTATAAGAGAGCCACCGCGTATCGCTTTTTCTCTGCTGAACAGACTAGCAACTTCGTGACATCTGAAGTTAAATATGAACTGGTAGTTTGATAGCCAATGTTCAGTAACACATAATATATCAATATTGTTACTGTTCAAAAATAACTAAATTTCCAAATCTTTACTTAAAATTCCTTGGATTTTTTGATGGACCAGGCTAATACAATTTAATTTATTATTACAATTTATGTCTTTATTTAATTTACTTACATGTCTTATCAATTTACTAGAATAAATTAAGTTTTTAATTGAAGTGCCAGAGATTGCCTCTGTGTTTTCTTATTTAATTTAAATTACTTGGAACGGATTCCAAATTGGTACATGTCAAATTTTGTTGCTGTTCAATAAAAGCAGCAGTCTGGTTAGCCAAACAATTGGCTGAGTTTAAAAAAATACAATAAGATAGCATATAAGCTGTTTTGAATAAAAATTGGATAGGTTGAACCTATCATAAATGTCAAATTGGATGATTTATAATTTATAATATTATTTATGTCAATTAAATCACAATTTAATTTATTTGTTTGATAAAGGGGTACATAATTGTTATTTGTCAACATATATAACATATGATTAAGCCTATGTCTATAATTGTTTTCCTGTGGCAACCCTTTTACATAGGGAAATGTGAACATTATTATTTTTTTAACATTTAAGTTTAATAATTGATCATAATAATTCTGTAAGTGTTTTTTGTTAACATTTCCCCTTCTCCCAATTAATATAATTAAGATAGTGTTGGGACAATGAGTGCTTGTCAATATAGTACTCATTATTTGAGAGTAAGTAGCTCCGGGCATAAAAAGAGTAGAAACTGATTGTCCCTTACATATATTATTAAGTCACGACCCCATATTCCTCCCTAACTCATCACTATAAACTTTGATAATATCATTACTTGGAATATGTTATGTTACTTATTCATGTCTGTTGTTGATGTGGCTGTTGTGATTCTCATCAGTCTGAGAAGAAGGCACTTCATCAACATTCAGCCGAGAAAGACCAAGGGAGTTTTGACATTCACAAACACAGTTTTTTGTAAGTGAATCAAGCGGTGAGCGGTCTGAATTATTCTTCAATATGTCAAGCAGGTCGTTCATGGCTAAAATATTTCTTTTTGGGACATCTCATATTTTTTTGTCATCGAGTTCAAAGAACTCTCTAAAGATAATATTTCAGCCTGAAGGGAATTCACATCAGCCTCATATGATAACTAAACTTTTTGGACCTCATTATAAAAAATATTAATTTTTGACTGGAGTGAATTTCTTTCCTTGCAAATTTTTGTTAGTATTATATCTATATTTTAGCAAATGTTAAGTTTTCTTAATAAATTTATTAATTTTGACATATTTCTTATGCTTTTTTTTACTAAGAACTGGGTAAGAGGCTCCAGAGTCATCGCCAGTCAAATCACTTGTACAGATGTCATTTTAAAAGGCAGTGACTGAGGATACCATATCAGGTGTTTTCTCAACCAGTTCATTAAATAGACTCTGGGCTTGAGTGGCCTATAAATTTAGGGTTTTATTCTCTAGTTGTAGAATGGTTTGTTGGGCCGTATTCAATTCAGACCTCAGTACAGCAGTGAGAACGAGGGCTTCCTCATACTCACCCCTACACTGATCAAACCCATCGACTATTTTTTGCAGATTATCATTATGTTCAATTAAGTTTACATATTTACAATGTATGTAAATACTTCATTTTTTAATTGTTTATTCTTATTGATAATCTGCAATGTCTCTTGCTCATTATCATCCCTCTCTCTCAACAACTGAACACACTGTGTTTTGGTCGCCTTTCACTCTTGGAGCGCCAGCTGGAGTTGTCCCTCAACCTGGCACGCCTTGGTGTTACAGGTCATCATTTTGAGGATAAGTTGTAATTATGTTGAAAAAGAAACAAAATTAACAGTGCGTTAACACATGTAAAGTTATAGTTAATTGTATTGTTTAAAAGTATTGCTTGGTAGTGTTGTATTATGTATTATGTATTTTTATTCTTTTATATGTTTGTGCACCTGCCACAACTTCTCAGTACCACCCTAAGGTTGACTGGTAGAAAATGCTGTCAGCGTTAAGTCCGCCTATGTACTGTGTTTTGTGCATGAAGTTTAAAAATTAAATAAATAATTAAAACAATTTATTTACTAATAAGTTATTACTTAAAAAAATATTTCAAAGATAAATGTGACGTTCGCCAATCCCCAGTCAGGTAGCGTAGTAAACTTTACCCTATGTCCATTAGGACAGAACGTATTAACGTTAAGTTTAAATAAATAGGCATGCTCATTATAAGACTTGACTGCTCTTGAGGTCAACCTTTTCTCCCTTCTAACAAAAGATTTCTAGAAAAATATATCTATATCAGTTAAAATATATCTATCAAAAAGCTGGTCCATCGGTAGAGTATTTTTTACAAGAAAAAACAACAGGAACTCCGAAAAATTTTTATTTCTTCATAACAATCATGCAAATAGGTTTTTCTATGTATATACATAGACATACAACATATGTTTTTGCTTAGCAAATCCACATCAGGCGCAAAGCTAGTGCAAGATAATGATAAAGGTTTCTTATCATTGCTTATCAACGAGAATCAGCTTTATACTGTATACATAAGACGTAACTTCGCATACATGTCGTTAGTTTGCTAGGTACATACGTGTTGCGACATGCTGTATCTCGCTCTTGTGGTTGTGGCGGTCATCGCTCTTTACTTGTACGGTACGCGCGGCTTCAGGTATTGGGAAATAAGGGGCGTCAAACATGACAAGCCTTTGCCGTTCTTCGGGAACAACTTAGACAGCTACCTAATGAAGAAAAGTGTAACTCAGATAGCCGTGGAGCTGTATTGGAAGTATCCGAACGAAAAAGTGGTTGGATTCTATCGGGCCTCCTTTCCAGAGCTGGTAATAAGAGATCCCGAAATCGCGAAACGCATATTGATCACAGACTTTGGCTCTTTCTACCCGAGGGGTATAAACACTCATAAAACCGCAATCGAGCCTTTGCTGAAGAATTTGTTCTTCGCTGATGGAGACCTTTGGCGGCTGCTAAGACAACGCATGACTCCAGCGTTCACTTCAGGAAAATTAAGAGCGATGTTTCCTCTCATCGTGGAACGCGCTGAGCGTTTACAGAATAAAGCTATTAACGCTTCTGAATCCGGACGAGTTTTGGATGCACGCGATATAATGGCCAGGTATACTACCGACTTTATAGGTGCTTGCGGCTTTGGCCTCGATGCAGATTCCCTCAGTGATGAGAACTCCGCTTTCAGAAAACTCGGCGCGGAAATATTCCATTTCGGTGTATATGAGATTTTCAAACAACTCCTAAAGGAGTTGTTTCCTGACATGTTCAAGCATTTGAAAATAATGGGAAAAGTAGAAAGAGACGTCGCTGCCTTGGTCAAAAGTATCTTGCAGAAGAGAAATTATGAACCATCCGGTAGGAACGACTTTATCGATTTGCTTTTGGAGTGCAAAAATAAAGGTATGATGGTTGGAGAATCTATTGAGAAGACGAAACCCGACGGTACACCGGAGCCAATTTCTTTGGAATTAGACGATTTGCTTATGACTGCTCAAGTGTTTGTATTTTTCGCCGCTGGATTCGAAACTTCTTCATCGGCGACTAGCTTCACTCTGCACCAGTTGGCATTTAATCCAGAAGAGCAAAAGAAAGTACAAAAAGAAGTAGACAGAGTACTGTTGAAACATGACAACAAACTATGCTACGAAGCTGTTAAAGAAATGACGTATTTAGACTGTGCCTTCAAAGAGGGAATGCGAATGTTTCCCTCACTGGGTTTTCTAGTTAGGGAAAGTGCTTGCAATTACACATTCCCAGAATTGAATCTGTCCATTGGCGAAGGGGTCTCGATAATAATTCCTCTACAAGCTATGCACAATGACCCACAATATTTTGAAGAGCCAGAACAGTTCCGTCCGGAGCGCTTTTTACCCGATAACATAAATCCTAAAACCAAATACGTTTATCTACCATTTGGCATAGGTCCTCGAGCTTGTATTGGTAAGTCAAGTTATTTATTAAAGCACAAAAAACTACACTTACTCAAAAAAAAAAAAAAAAAAAAAGCTGTTAGTAGCTTACTGCATATCTTAAAAGATTCCATTTTTATTTTATTTTTCTTATGTTCTATGACTAGTAGATTTAAAGAACTGTTAAGAAGTTACTTTTTTAATTTAAATGTTAATTAATGAAAGTTTATTTTTATTTTCAGGTGAAAGGTTAGGCCAGATGCAATCTCTAGCCGGTCTAGCTGCCGTACTATCACGATATACGGTTGAGCCCGCTCCAGAAACACTACGGAATCCAGTCGTGAGTCCCACTTCGAACATAGTACAAAGTATCAGCGGAGGGTTGCCTCTGTTATTCCGCGAAAGGTCTACAAAATCTCAATGACTGACTAAAAGAATGTTGACTTAAACATTTTACATATTTTTCATAAATATACTTCTATAATCATAGTTTTATTAAATTATTTATGTTATTTATCAAATTTATTATTTATATTTATTTTTTTACATTGTTGCCATAAAATTTTGTTTTTACTTAGTTATGTGTACATGTGATTTTGTTGGTAATCCAAAATAAATGAATTCCACAAATCAAGGTTACGAAGGGTGTTTTAAAATCCAGGTGCTGATTGAGCACTAAGGGAGGTTACTCTTTTTTTTTTTTTTTAAGTCAATCAAATACTATTAATTACCTAAATTAAAACAAAATGAACAAAAATTGTCGAAATTTTAAGCAATAACAAATGATATCTTGAAAGAGTAACCTCCCTTTGTCTTCAAATTCCTTCTGAATCTTTGAGCAAGTCTGAAGACTCATTTGATAATAATTTTACAAAATGTTGGAGAAAATATGTACAGTGATACAACGTAAGCTCTTTCTAAGAAATGCTTGTGTATCCATAACGTCTAAAGTAGTACCTATAATGAAAAAAACATGGATTGCATGGATTTGAGTAATTACAAAATAAATACGAAAAAAAAAAAACCCGCAGCCTAAGGATATCAAATATGCATCGATTACAAGAGGGTCATACAATCACATAAGCGGTATTAAATACTGGTAAATAATGAGAAATGTTACAAACGACAGCCCCGATCAATGCCCGTGCCATTCACCCTGTAGAAGAAAGGGATGAAAGAGTTACCGCATTTTCATCTTAAAACACAACGTCTCATACAGCAAATCTTTAATTCGTTCCCACCCACCAACGCAACTAACAAACCTCAAAGTCAACAAAATGCAGCCTTTTTAATGGATCTTTGCCTTAAAAAAAGTATGCGTGTACTAATGTATGTACGTAAGAAGTTATACTTCTTTACAACAAAACATTGTAAACGAGAAAAATTACCAAAAATTTTATTCTTCGCAATTAGCAAAAACAGAGAGTTGTTTGAAAAACAGAGAGAACTTGGCACACACTTTATTTGTGAGACAGACATTAAATGCAATTGACAGTGGTTTATTATAACTTGGAATTATAGGTAAATGTAAAAAAGTTTTTATTGCTTGCAATGGTAATACCGTGAAGTTGATTGAAGTTTGTTCTTTATGTTGCTTTTTGGTTTTCGGTGTGTGCGCGCATCTTAAAAATTTAACTCATAATTTTTTCCAAACGCGACAAAAGAAGTATAACTCCAAATAAGGACTAAAAATTATTTAATTTTTTAAGTTGATGAAAGTGATATAGGCTTACGCAAATCTAATAATGGTGCGGAACACTTCGTGCGCTGGGCCATCTCGCACTTGGCCGGTTTTTTTAATAAAATTATTTTTACTAGACAGAACTCTAATATGTCAGTACGACTTAATATTTAACTACATTAATACGCATTACGAATAACTAGTTGACTCGTGAAACAATTCACGCGGTGCATGTGATCTGGCACCGAAATCCGAATGGTAATATTACACATTATTTATTTTTAATGTATTATCTGTACAGAAATTTCCGTTCGTAGTCAATACATTTCATTACCAAAGTAATGGTAACTCGTTTGATAACTTACACTAGACTCCTGTTCTACAGTTCACTTGATAAACCCCTTTGTGTAACAACTCCTATACGAAACTAGCAGAAAATCAGTGTAAAGGAATTTCTCAAGGGTCTCTTTTTCTCCTGCCATTCTTGTCTAGGAATCTTATTAAGCAGAACTTCACGCACCCAACGCTTCCAGAACATATCAGCCAGTCTTTGTGATATACGCCATTAATATGCGGTCGTTATTATTCCAACCGTTATATAATCGTTATTATGCCAGTAGGTACCCGCAGACATCGCTTTGGGTGATGCATCGCAAATAAATGTACCTGTAGGTTTTCATAGACTCCGTTGTTTACAACATCGTTCATTGAATGCGTGTGGGACTGCGAGCGCAAGTTTCGCGGTAACTGATTGCTGCTTATCATTGTCTCACTCGCACTCACGGCGGCCGATTTATAAAACCTGTATCCATACTCGTTGTTGTTTTTAATTTTCTTTTCCACTCCCTTCAATCTGGCTAAAGCGTTAGGGTAAGAATTAGGCATATTACACTTAGGGTCCTTCCAAGGCAATCCGACGTACCACCTCCCGTCTATTAGCGTAGAAGTTTGCTCCAGACGAGCTACCGCAAGCAGGTTCTCGGGATTATTGCGTGGCTTTAACGAAACCCCCAATGACTCAATAGAGAACGAACGGCGTATCTCCTCATGAATGTTGTGCCACTCGCGCGCGTTATCAATGTCAGGTGCTAAACATAAAGCAGAATAATTTTGGTTAACGAAGGCTGGCACTGGTACCCGACCGTGAACATACCACCCTAACGCAGTTAGGGAAGCACAAGGTTCATTTTTACCTACAATAATTTGCTTAGGTAACAATAAATGGTAATTATCTTGCCCTATAAGAATTTCTGGTTTTCCTACATTACAACAAATCTCATTTTTAATTCTATTCAAATGACAATAAGATTGAAATTTAATCATTGACAAATCTTGTTTAGGCAAAGATAATTCTTTAACACTTCGAGCATTTACACAAAACATAGTTCCCTCTTTGTTTGTTACATTACATTTTACAATATTTGCGTTGCATTCTACTTGATCCCCACTCCATGGACCACATACGCGCATAGTTTCGCGGCGTCCACGCAACCCGACTCGTTGGGCTAACTCGGAACTTATCAATGATACGGTTGACCCGTCATCGAGTAACGCGGAGCTACTAAATATACCGTTTGGTCCGGAAATGTTTATAGGAACGAGTTTTAAAAGAACTTTGCATTCTTTAACATTAACGTGAGTAACAATATCTGATTGCGATGACGTTTCAACCGTATGAACGGTCGGTGCACCACTTACCGCCCGTACGTTTTCATTCTTAACGGAATAATGCAATAACCGATGATGATTTAGTCCGCAGTTATCTTTGTCACATGCGGCGGCTGGACATGTTTCTCGCCTATGACGCGACATAAGACACTTGTAACAAATACCTTTTAGCTTAACGTAACGCCACTTATCTTTACGCATCGCTTTTTTAAACTGTTTGCAGTCCGGTAAGTTATGCTTTGAGACGCGACAATAGTGGCACGTATCTCTCGCACTGTTTAAATCGCTTTGCACTAATATATCGTTGCTTTGAAGCGCGTTGAATTCGTGTTGTTTTTTGTTTACGTGCGGCTGCGTAGTTATTAAACTTACACTGGATTGTGATATTTTTACCGCCTCGGTAGTTAAAAACTCGGATAAAATTTCCATCTTGGTCATTTCGCGTTCAGTTATAAGTGAGTGAAAATAATCGGCCCATTTGGATATGAGCAGTGATGGCAATTTCGATAAAATAATTGAAACTATCTGCATGCCTTGTAAATACTTGTTTCGACCTACGGCACGGACTGCTGCGGTGAAATTCTTAACTTTAATGGAAAACGGAACAATTTCATTGTGATATTCCTGTGACATAGGTTGCAGTTTCTTTATGTCTAATATAATACGGTGTAATATTACGTCCGGGTTACCAAATTGCAGTTCCAATGTAGACATAATTGTGTCTGGCGATGCTGCGCTAATAAGAAGCGCTGCCACGGCTTCTTTGGCGGCTCCATGTAGGCACTTCCTTAATCACCACAGATTTTCCTTTGTACTGAAATTACATACCTCGGTTGACTCTTCATATGCTTGCTTAAACTGTAGCCACTTCATAGGGTCACCAGAAAATGCGGGTAGGTCTCTTGGTGTACTTAAACGGCTAAGCAAGTTGGCGTTATGATCTTTAGACGAAGAAGCGGCTAGGTCCCTTATAGCAGTTGCCAACATTTCAACTGTCCCCTCGGCACCGGCGTCCTTTTCTACCGGTGAACAGTGCGTGCCCTTACCTTGACCATTGTCGCGGACACCCTGCATATCCAGATCCTGTTGACTTCGTTCTAGCCATTTCTCGACCTTCTCTGCGCTTAGTTTCTTCGACGGTGGACTGTATTCTTCCTCTAAATCCGCTATATTCGCAGCTAACCTTTTATCGATTAGTTCCATTTGTATATGTGCCTTTGCTTCTGCTGCATCTAGCTCCAACCTATTTTCTTCGTGCTTGAAGTGAGGATGATGCGGACGTGCCGTAACGGTTTTTTTAGGCGGTACGACGGTATCCGTTCCAATATTTACCAACTCCGACTTTATTTCACCTCTTGCCCCTTTTCCACTGGTAGCTGGTATTGATTCCACCTTACTATAGTGATCTGCCTTCTTGTAAGAACTGCGAGTATGCACCATACTGCCTGGTGGACTGCGATACATTGGTTCTGATTCGGCTCGAAGACCAACTTGTAGGGGAGTTTCGCAGTCAAATTCGGTGCACTGAGGTTAACAGCTCTTTTTTTGCAACAAAGTACAAATACAATTTAAACTCAGGATAATTACGTGGACACAGTAAACGTTAGCAGAGCGCGCGTACGGAAAAAGAAGAAGAACGCATGACAGACAGTACCCGTATTTATTTTAAATTCAAAAAGTAACGTTCGCGCGCCCGCCCTCAGTTGCCATATAAATGGGAAACATAAACACAAAATACAGATTATGTTATAATCAAAAATACATAAAAATAATAAACTAAATTAATATAAAATATACCATATAACTTAACTATATAAAATTAAATTGTAACGCGTCGCCTACGATCAGATTTAGACCATTTGTTTACACTCTGGCTCTTCGTCCATTACCTAATAAGTATTTATCAAACGAAAGTATCCTATTTTTAACTTCACTTCGTTATCTTTTATTTAAACAAAATGTAAATAGATCACATTATCATACATTTTCCATACGAGTTTTTTAACGTAAGTTTTTGATGACAACTTTCTTTTTTTTATTTAAAAAAACGTTGTCCTTACTTTAGTATAACGTTATCCTGTGTTGTAAGGTGGTTTAACAAACATAAATTTCATACGAACAAACACCCAAATGCGAAACAACTATATGTGGGTCACAAATAGTTGTCCCGTGTGGGACAACTATTTGTAACCCACGAACCCCGACGCTGAAGCCAATACGGAGTCTTTAATTATTGTACTTGTATATTGTTCGTCACTAGCGGAAAAGACAAGCTTTAAAATGGTGTTTGAATTATTAAATATGACGACAATTACTGAAGATATCGT